TGTGTGTGTGTGTGTGTGTGTGTGTGTTGCTGGGGATTGAACCCAGGGCCCTGTGCATGTGAGGCAAGCACTCTACCAACTAAGCTATAGCCCCAGCCCCAAGAGGAGCAGTCTAGAGAGAGGAGACTAAGGCCCTGGACAGGTGTGGGACAGAATAGACAAGGACTCCCAGCAGGAGCCACAGCGTCCCTGTTGGGAGACATGGCATGGACGAGAGAGCCCTGGGCCAGGATACACTTGTGTGCTACGCCAGGCCTGTGCCACCCACCTTGCTCCTCCGAGACCAGCCACAGGCTGTAGCCATCTCCTGGTCTCCTATGAAGGTGGGTGGGACCCTATGATTCAGCTTTCCCAGGGGATGTGAGGGATGGACAAGAGTCCCCTTGGGGGATTTACGGAAGTGGGTTTGCCTCCACCCTTTCCCTCCTGGGCTGGAGGACAGACAATGGTGGAGTTTCAGGTCATAGTGGAGACATAGGGTACAAGGAGTCTCAGTCCAAAAGACCAGGGGAAGGGACCCTCCTCGTTCCCATACCACACCAACTGTTTGGGGCTGTTACTGCCTTTCAGTCTACGCTAGCTAGGCTGCATATCTACCATGTTAGTCATCTATGTCTGCATGACAAACTACCTCCAAATACAGCACTAGGATCCCACAGTCTCTCGGTCCTTATGTGAAGCAGTTGACCTGGGCCCTCTTATGCCAAAATAAAGATGCTGGCTGCAAAGGGCCAGGGCCAGCTGAGGCTGGGGAACGGCTAGGCATGTGGAGTCCACTGGGGTGACTGAACTATTACCAGATCAGGTTGGAATGACCATCACAGACTCTGTGACGTGAATGGAACACTTCACATGGAGGCTTACGGAGGGAGGTCAGAGCCTCATGAAGTGGCCACGTCCAGAGGAAAAGCTAGTTATCATGAAGCTCCACGGGGAGGACCCCTGGTGTTGGGGCTGTGAGGGGAGTCGGTCCCACTGCTCCACAGTGGACTTCCACCACTGCTGTCACACTGTCTGCCAGGAGCAGGTCCCAGGCCACCCCCCAAGGGGAGGACGTGCCACCGGGAATGACATCAAGAGGCAACCTTCACTGTTCCTTCCAGAAGCTTCTCATTCACAAACTGAGTCCTCCCCAGGGCCCTAATGGACTCAGTGTGATCTACCTCCCTGGGGCCACTGGAACAGACCAGAGAGCTGGCCATCCAAGGCCACTGCGGTCAGGTGGGAGCAGATCTCCGTGTGAGGTGCCGGTGCCTTGCTCCACCCGGTCCTCCATGTCCAGCTGGGGTCCAGGTAGGAGGAGTCCCTGAGGGCCAGCCTGTGAGCATCGAGGCAGGACTCCACCGCACCCTCTGCTCCTCCTGCAGGGCCCCCCCAGGAGGACTGTGTGTGACAGCGGGAGAGACAGGCATGGAAAGAAACCAGCATAGGACAGGGACACACAGGAAGCTGGACAGACACAGACAAGTGACACTCTGATGGAGGGGCAAAGAAGCAGCTGAGGAGGAGATGGAGCCTGAGGAGCCACTGGCCGCGGGAGCAGGCCTAGCCACTGCTGGGGAGCGGCCCAGGCTCCTCCAGGCCTGACCGGCGCCCCCTGGTGGACGCTTAAGGGTGTCCCTCTGACCTGCTGCCTGCTGACTCAGGCCTGGGCTGCCCAGGACCCTGGAGGCGCCTCTTCAGGGGACTGCGGGGCTGAGCAGGACCCGCTGCAAGACCTCAGGACTGGCTGCAGGAGAAGGCAGGAAGAGCAACGCTCCAGCCCCTCTGCGGGCGCCCAGCATTAGTGCCCACTGCTTCCTTCCCTCTGCACAGAGTTCAAAAGAAACACCCAGGAGGGACACTTGAGTGATCCCTCCAGATGACTGGACTGATGGGTGCCGAGCAGCAGTGGGTTAGAGGAGGCCGGAACCGGCCTGCACCTTCCTCTGGGCCTTGCCCTGGTGGCTGGACCACGCCCATACCAGCTCAGCTCCAGGCTGACCCTCCACCTCCAGGGATTTGGGGACCTGCCAAGGATCTTCAGCCTCGTCCACGCCATGACCCTCTGACAGTCGGTTGAGCCTATAGACCTGGTCTTGGAAAAACATTTTAGAAATGCATACAGCAGGCACATGGGATAGAGAAATAACAGTGATACAAGATCACACAAATATATGATGGAGTCATATGATGAGGGTTGAACCAGGGCCTCCTGTCTAGACAATGCTTTAACATTGTCCAGTCATGAGTGTAAGTATTTATTTTGGTCAGGGTCTCTAAGTTGCCCAGGCTGGTCTCCAACTTGCCATCCTCCTGCCTAGGCCTCCTGAGCAGCTGGAATCTCGGGCATGGGCCACCACACCCACCTCTATACATACTTTTAAATGAATGCATTAAGTAAGGTAAGTAATGGGTCTAATCATGATCTGTCAGATACAATAGCAAAGTCACATGGCATAAATGATTTTGCAAGATTTTGGCACTAACTCTGATTAGACACAAAAATTTGTGATTTCTATCAGTGACAAAGGTGCAGGTAATTCTCACCCATGATGTTGCTGTCTATACTCATAATAGAGGGAAATGCTAAATTTCACTTAGAGGTAAAAGAAACAAAGGGAGTAGTCATTTCCCCAGTCTGCAGACTCCCTGGATCCCACCCATGGAGCCGTGAAGAGTCCATGGAAGTGGTAGAGAGCTGCGGAGTGGGGGCTGTCACCCAGGTCCTAACCTGCCAAGGCAGCAGGGTGCCAGATGGGGTTCTCATTACCCCAGAGGGCTAATGGTGCACAGCAATCAGCAAGCAGGTCCCCTGGCCACTACTACCAATGGCAACAGCAAGATCCCAGACAGCTGAAGTGCCAGGCACCCAGCAAAGCTCTGATCTCCTTAGGCCTGTCCAGCCCGCACTCCTGAGTCATCTCAGAAAACCCAGGATGGTGCAGACTTGCTGGGTTGTTTCAGCCAGCTCCCACACCGAATCCCTGGGGCAGGGTGGAGGGCAAGCCCAAGCAGGGCCTGGAGCCTGCCTGTCCTCTCGCACATGCCCAGGGTGGTCTAGCCGTGCCTCTCAGCCCAGAGTTTGTCCTGATGACTGACCGTACTCTTGGCTCCCAGATTTCTGGCTCCAAGCTCCATTTTGCATGCTGAGTCAGAGATGCTCTCCTGAATTATTTGGAGAATATACTTCCATCAGTTTCTCTGGTTCAGCCTCAGGCTATGCATCGGTCCCACAGTCTATCTCCATTTCCATCTGTCTGTCCATCTCCCTGGTCCTCCCCTGGGGCCACGAGTCCTGGCATAGGCTCTCCCATCAGGCCTCCCAGCTGGAGGGTCACCATATTCCTCAGGCCTTGCCTGTTCAGGGTGCTTGGTGGACTTCCAAGTGCCAGTACCTGCATCTCTTCCCATGTTCCTTTCCAAGGGAGGTCACTCTTAGTAAGCACTGTCATCTGGAAGCACTGTGAAATCAACACCCTGCTCCAACAGCTGGTAACTAAGGCCTGTTCAGTACCCCAGCTTCCTTAGTCCCCAAGGGAGAAAGTTCTACACCAAGCTCTCTGGGCCCTTTCCTGGCATTTCCTCCATGGAGTTAACCAGTCACCTACAGTGGCCGGTGGCTGGACCCTGTACCCTTCCTTCCGTCCGTCACCTCCCTGCTGGTTCTTGCAGGTCCCACCAGATGAACCCCTGGATTCGAATCTGTCTCAGGGTCCATCTCTAAGGGAACCCAGAGCAAGGCAAAGGGCTCCCCTCCTCAGAAAGTCTAGCCTGGGGTCCTGTCCTGTTTGAGGGGACTCCCAGGCAGCTGGCTCCAGCCACAGACCA